AAGGATCGGAACAGTTAGGTTAACGATAAGAGCGATCGAGTTGGTGGAAAGCTTCTCGAAATATTTCGACCGATAGCAGCCACGTTCCGCGCCAACTTTGCCACACTAACTCGGGAAGCACGAAGATTCGAAATTCGAGATTTACACCGAAGCATAGAGCAGATTAGAATAAGATTAATTCAAGCACGGCAATGCTTCGAGACGAAAATTTTCCAATCGATCAGCGTATCTAAACAAACAACTTCGGTTTGCTTTCAGTGATTTAATTTCTCAATAATTCATACACTTTATTAAAAAAAAAAAAAACTCTTAGTTACTCCAAACTACAGTCCGACAAGCAGAGGCTAGAGTTCTAATTTGCCTAATTTCCATTTTCGATTCGCAAGGTGTTCGCTATCGATGAAGCCACAGAAGTGGGCTGACAATGAGCGATCGAATTTCGATCGATTTAAAAAAAAAAAAAAAAGGAAAAAACACCGACGAATTTCGGATGGAAGCGACGAGCGCTGGAGCCGAGAAGCTTCGCTAAGTAAAGATCTTCGAGGCGAAGTCCGAGAAATACTCGTACTCGTGGCGGCAAGCTGTTAGATAGATAGCAAGCACTGAAATAGCTTCACCACATGGCGGGGGTCTCTTTAATGCTGGTTAGATTCGTGTGTATGCGTTTTTACGTACACACGCGGCTCGCCGGATCAACATTGGTCGATGTTCTTCGGGCCAGAGGCAGACCCTCCGCGAGCGAACGTAGTCGTCGACTCCGGAAGTACGATCTTTCGCGAAAATCCTCCTCTGCAAATCACTCCACTTCTCGCGCCTCGCCATTCATCCATCATTCGAGCTAAATCGATCGGGATCGGGAGAAAGAAACGGATAAGAAGGAAAAAGATAGTGATCAACAATCGACATTGACCAGCATCGTCGTCGTTACGACTACAAGAAACAACGCTTACGAACGTTGCAAGATAAATAACTCGTCGATGGATGATAGTCGAATTATTCCGAGAGCTAAGCAATAAGCAATCAAGTGTAAAGGAAGAGGAACACGAGACACGGTAAAAATGAAGCGATGATCTTCGAATCGCACGTATCTTCTTCTAGGTACGTACCAGATGAGACGAACGTACACGAGCGAGCGAGTTTTTTAACTGTGGGTGAAATAATTATTCGCGTTCGTCCCGACGAAACTCGTTAGTCTCGGCTAAATGGCAACTATGACGTAATGTAACGCGGCGCATTTAACACGAGAAACGCCAGAAAAGCGGGATCTCGTCGCTGACAGTTAAATTCTACCGTGTCTGAAGAGAAAAAAAAAAAAAAAACGAGAGAAAGTGTTATACTCTTTTGTTGGCATTAATGTTCGACAGTGGTGCAGGGAAGATCTCGAGGTGTCCCGACGTAAAATTAATCACGAGGAACAACTGCAGGCCGCCGAGAATGTAGCGGAACGTATGCGAATTCGTATTTTTAAACGAAATAGTCAGCGCAGGGTTGCCAGCGGTGCGTCGAAAGTTCTGCGACTCGGGGAAAAGGAAAAAACGTGGCGTCGTAATAAGCGCGCGTTCGATAGGGAAGAGAATGCATCGACGAGAATGAACGATACCGTCGTCTCGGAGAAATGTCATCGCCGTTCGAACGTTCGTCGAACACGTTGGAGAGGCTGATAATCGAGGATCGCCGAGAATCGACGCGTGAGAGATCAACTTGGTGAAGCTTCGAGCATGGCCGCTTGTCATCCAACACCGGCGATTCAACATTTGCAGCCGCAGGAATCGTCTCAACAGCTTGGCCTTGGAATTATGAACGCTATCGGTAGCCAAGGTCAGAAGCCGCCGCTCCACCAACCGCACTATTCGCCCCATTTGCTCAACTGGGTCTACCTGGCGATCACCGATCAGAATTCTGCTCAGACACGGGATCAGGTTTCTTTCGATCTTTCTCTTTTTCCCCTTGTGTATCTCTCTCTATGACAGAACATTCGCTTTTGGTAAAAAAAAAAAAAAAAA